TTCCCTTCCTTCCTCCCTCCCTCCCTCCCCCCTTCCTTTAGCCTCCTTCCTCCCTCCCCCTCCCTCCCACCCCCTCCCGCCCTTCCCCCTCCCCCTCCTTCCCTTCCTTCCCTCCCTCCCTCCCTACCCCTCCTTCCCTTCCCTTCCTCCACTCCTTCCTCCCTCCCCCTCCTTCCTTCCTTCCTTCCCTCCCTCCCCCCCCTCCCTCCCCTTCCTTCGCCTCCCTCCTTCCTTCCTTCCCTCCCTCCTACCTCCCTCCCTCCCCCCTCCTTCCTTCCCTCCCTCCCTCCCTCCTTCCCCCTTCCTTCCCTTCCCTTCCTCCCTCCCTCCCTCCCCCACTTCCTTCAGCCCGCCTCCCTCCTCCCTCCCTCTCTCCCTCCCCCTTCCTTCCTCCCTCCCCTCCCTCCCCTTCCTTCCTTCCTCCCTCCCTCACTTCCCTTCCATCCTCCCTCCCCCTTCCTTCCTTCCTCCCTCCCCCCTTCCCTCCTTCAGCCTCCCTCCCTACCTCCCTCCCTCCCCCTCCTTCCTTCGCCTCCTCCTCCTTCCCCCTTCCTTCCTTCCCCTTCCTCCCACCCTCCCTCCCCCACTTCCCTTCCTTCGCCCCTCCCTCCCTCTCTCCCTCCCCCCCTTCCCTTCCCTTCCCCTCCCTCCCTCCCTCCCTCCCCCTTCCTTCCTCCCTCCCTCCCTCCTTGCCTTCCTCCTCCCTCCTTCCTTCCTCCCTCCCTCCTTCCTTCCTCCCTCCCTCCCTCCCTCCTCCCCTCCCCCTTCCTTCCCTTCCCCTCTCCTTCCTTCCTTCCCTCCCTCCCTCCCCCCTTCCTTCCTTCTTCCTCCCTCCCTCCCTCTCTCCCTTTCTTTTTTTTTCCTAGAGATAGGGCCTCACTCTATTGCCCAGGCTGGAGTGCAGTGGGTATGATCACAGCTCACTGCAGCCTCCCAGGCTCAGCGATTCTCCAGCCTCAGCCTCTCGAGTAGCTGAGACTGCAGGCGTATACCATCCTGAATATTTTGTTTATTTTTTGTTTTTTAGAGATGGTGGGGTCTTGCTGCGTTGCCCAGGCTGGTCTCAGGCTCCTGGAGCTCAAGCGATTCTCTTACCTTGGCCTCCCAAAGTGCTGGGATTACAGGCATGAGCCACGGTGCCACACAGCCTGGAGTCCCCCAGGGTCGCAGGTACCACACTCCCTGCCTTACCTCTTTTTAGGGAACTTCAGGACCTCTCACTTGTGGCCCACGTGGGGCTGGTGCGACAACCGTGTGCTGGACACAGGGCTGGCTGCAACTCCTTAGTGCCCCATCTCAAGGTCCTCTTGGAGAGAGTGAGGCTGAGTGTATGCCCGAGATGGCACGCCCTGCCTGGTCCCCTCCTGCTCCAGCACAGCTCTAAAAGGAGTAGCAAGACACTAATTACAGGGATGTGGGAAATGATGGCTTTATTTTCTCACCATTGCCACCCACCGCTGCCCCAGCTCCTTCCCAAGTCCCACAGGCCAGGCTCACCACGGCGGCAGGTGTGGCAGGCCGGGCCCGGCTGGGCGGTGCCTGCCTCTGGTGGTGTTAACAGCCTCTTGATAGAGCCTGGATGCCAGTCTTGACCCTTATGGGCTGTGTAATCCTGGGCAAATGCTTTGCATTTGCTAAGCCTCAGCTTCTCATCTACTCCAAAGCAGACACAGGATCCTTGCTTAGCACTGTGATGAGGGTGAACAAATGATCACTGTAAAATCCCTGGCCCAGAGCCCAGGAGGCTCTGTGAGTCCTTAGTGAGTTTCTGTGCCTCCCTGCAGTTCTAGTGACTCACTCATTCATTCACTCACCATCCTAGGCTCAATGAGTGCCTAGCCCATAATGCTAAATTAACAAGTGTGAAACAGTGCTAAATGCTCTAAATCCAAACAGTACTAAGACATACACAGAGACACACACATACACACCCACACAGATACACACACACAGAATCCCCACACACAGACACACACAGGGAACACACACACACATACATACACACATACACTCACAGAGACACACCAGAGACACACACACAGACACACCCACACAGAGACACTACAAACACACCCCACATACACACCCACAGAGACACACATACAGAGGCTTAGCTAAGTGCTAAGTGCTCATGTGAAACAGTACTAAGTGCTCATGTGAAACAGTACTAAGTGCTCACATGAAATGGTACTAAATGTTCATACGAGCAGTACTAAGTACTCCACGTCAAACAATACTACTTGGGCTCAGTAACAAGGCCTGTAATCCCAGCACTTTGGGAAGCCGAGGCAGGTGGATCACCCAGTCAGAGATCGAGACCATCCTGGCTAACACGGTGAAACCGTCTCTACTAAAAATATAAAAAACTAGCTGGGCGAGGTGGCGGGCGCCTGTAGTTCCAGCTACTCGGGAGGCTGAGGCAGGAGAATGGCGTAAACCCGGAGGCGGAGCTTGCAGTGAGCTGAGATCCGGCCACTGCACTCCAGCCTGGGCGGCCAGAGCGAGACTCTGTCTCTCAAAAAAAAAAAAAAAAACAGTACTAAGTGCTTGTGGCAAACAGTGCTAAGTGCTCATGGCAAAACAATTACTAAGTGCTCCGTCAAGCAGTACTAAATTAACTCACGTAAGAAATTACTAAGTGCTCATGTAGAGCAGTACTAAGTGCTCACATCAAACGATACTAAGTGCTCAGCCTTGAAGCAGTGCTAAGTGCTCATGGCAGAGCAATTACTGAAATTGCTCATGGCACAGAGCAGTGCTAAATTATAAAATGTAGAGCAATGCTAAGTGCTCATGTGAAACAGTGCTAAGTGCTCATGGAGAAACAGTACTAAGTGCTCATGTGAGAGCAGTGCTAAGTGCTCATGTAGGCAGTACTGTGAAACAGTGCTAAGTGCTCATGTGAAACAGTACTAAGTGCTCACATTAAACTGTGCTAAGTGCTCACGTGAAACAGTACTAAATGTTCATGTGAAACAGTGCTAAGTGCTCAAGTGAAACAGTACTAAGTGTTTCTGAGTCCTCCAGGTGTTTCCAGTCCAAAGGAATAGGAACAGATGGGCAGAAGGGGGATGGCCTTCTCTAAAGAGTCCCAGATCAGGGCCCCTTGCCCCTTGTGTGGCCTGCCGGTGGCACTTGGATTTCACCCACAGAGCTACCCAGGAACCATGGCAGTTTCTAAGCAGGTCCCAGGGGTCTCAAGGGGGCAGCCTAGAGAGAAGTGAGAGGGTGATGGCGCCACTCCCCAGAGGAGCACAGTGGCCTTGTGAAATGGGTATGGGATCCGGAACAGACAATCACAAATGGAACTCTTAGTAGCTCTATGCCCTTGGGTATGTCATTCTTCTCTAAGCCTCAGTTTCCCCACCTGGGAAATAAGGATAGCGTAGCATTCTTGGATTGTTGAGAAGATACAATGAGGCCAAGTGTGCAGTGTGATTGATCAGATTCAGGTGCCCAACACATGAGTTGTTGATTTTCTTTCTTTTTTTTTCCTTTCTGTTTTTTCAGGCCAGGCACCATGGCTCATGCCTGTAATCCCAACACTTTGGGAGGCCGAGGTGGGTGGATGACCTGAGGTCAGGAGTTCAAGACCAGCCTGGCCAACATGGTGAAACCCCATCTCTACTAAAAATACAAAAATTACCCAGGAGTGATGGCGTGCACCTGTAATCCCAGCTATTAAGGCTGAGGCAGGAGAATTGCTTGAACCCGGGAGGCGGAGGTTGCAGTGAGCCAAGATCGCACCATTGCACTCCAGCCACTCCAGCCTGGGCAACAAGAGCGAAACTCCATCTTAAAAAAATAAAAAGCTATTTTTTTTTCTTTATTAGAGACGAGGTCTCACTATGTTGCCCAAGCTGATATCAGACTCCTGAGCTCAAGTGATCCTCCTGCCTCGGCCTCCCAAAGTGCTGGGATTACAGATGCGAGCCACTGTGCCTGGCAGAACTGTTTATTTTAACAGTAGGATTATCTGCCTGCATTACAGAAAAGCAAGCTGAGGCTCAGAGAGGAGCCCCAAGTCACATACACCCAGGGGAGAGGCAGATGCTGCATTTGAGCTGCCAGTGAGCACAAGGCAGAGAGGCCACACGTGGGAAGCCTTAGAAATGGTCTCCCCTGGCCGGGCACGGTGGAGCACTCCTGTAATCCCAGCACTTTGGGAGACAGAGACAGGAGCATCCCTTGAGCCCAGGAATTCAAGACCAACCTGGGTAACATAGTGAGACACTATCTCTACAAAAACATTTTAAAATTAGCCGGGAGTGGTGGTGCCCACCATTAATCCCAGCTACTCTGGTGGCTGAGGCGGGAAGGTCGCTTGAGCCAGGGAGATGGAAGCTGCAGTGAGCTATGGTCGTTCCACTGGACTCCAGCCTGGGTGACAGAGAGAGATCCTGTTTCTAAAAAGAAATAACAATTAAAAATAAAAAGTCTTCCAGCTGGATGCGGTGGCTCATGCCTCTAATCCCAGCACTTTGGGAGGCCGAGGCAGGTGGATCACCTGAGGTCAGCAGTTCGAGACCAGCCTGGCCAAAATGGTGAAACCCCGTCTCTACTAAAAATACAAAAAATTAGCAGGGCGTGGTAGCAGGCGCCTGTAATCCCAGCTACTCGGGAGGCTGAGGCAGGATAATAGCTGGAACCCGGGAAGCAGAGGTTGCAGTGAGCCGAGATCGTGCCATTGCACTCCAGCCTGGGCGACAAGAGCAAAACTCCGTCTCAAAAAAAAAAAGTCTCCCTCCTAGAGTAAAATGAGGCGAGCCAGTATGAGAGTGTAGGTACGAGGACTTCCCGCAGCCTCCCCGGGCAGCAAGGGAAGGGAAGAAACCGAGTGTAAGCGGACGGCGAGCGGGTGGACACCCACCAGGCCCGACCCCACCTCGCGCTCCGCATGGCCGTCAGACGCGGCGCCTTTAAAGCCCAGCAGGGGGCGTGTCCCTGGGCGTGTCCGCCCGGAGCCCCGCCCCGGGGGCTGGTAGCCTCGGCCCCGGGAGGCTGCGCCGGCTCTGGCTCAGCGGCGGCTCCAGTGGCAGCGGCGGTGGCAGCTAGGCGGGCTCGGCGGCTCCTGTCCCTCGGGCGGCTGCCCGCTCGCTGCCCGGGGCGCCCGGACACACGTGGGCGGCTCGGCGATGGCCCGCGCCCCGCGACGTGGCGGGCAGGCACCGGGGCGCGGGACCGCTCGGCCCGAGTGAGCCGGGGCCGCGCTCCCGCCCTCGGCCCGGGCCGCCCGGGATGGCCGTGGCGCCGCTGCGGGGGGCGCTGCTGCTGTGGCAGCTGCTGGCGGCGGGCGGCGCGGCGCTGGAGATCGGCCGCTTCGACCCGGAGCGCGGGCGCGGAGCTGCGCCGTGCCAGGCGGTGGAGATCCCCATGTGCCGCGGCATCGGCTACAACCTGACCCGCATGCCCAACCTGCTGGGCCACACGTCGCAGGGCGAGGCGGCCGCCGAGCTGGCGGAGTTCGCGCCGCTGGTGCAGTACGGCTGCCACAGCCACCTGCGCTTCTTCCTGTGCTCGCTCTACGCGCCCATGTGCACCGACCAGGTCTCGACGCCCATTCCCGCCTGCCGGCCCATGTGCGAGCAGGCGCGCCTGCGCTGCGCGCCCATCATGGAGCAGTTCAACTTCGGCTGGCCGGACTCGCTCGACTGCGCCCGGCTGCCCACGCGCAACGACCCGCACGCGCTGTGCATGGAGGCGCCCGAGAACGCCACGGCCGGCCCCGCGGAGCCCCACAAGGGCCTGGGCATGCTGCCCGTGGCGCCGCGGCCCGCGCGCCCTCCCGGAGACCTGGGCCCGGGCGCGGGCGGCGGTGGCACCTGCGAGAACCCTGAGAAGTTCCAGTACGTGGAGAAGAGCCGCTCGTGCGCACCCCGCTGCGGGCCCGGCGTCGAGGTGTTCTGGTCCCGGCGCGACAAGGACTTCGCGCTGGTCTGGATGGCCGTGTGGTCGGCGCTGTGCTTCTTCTCCACCGCCTTCACCGTGCTCACCTTCCTGCTGGAGCCCCACCGCTTCCAGTATCCCGAGCGCCCCATCATCTTCCTCTCCATGTGCTACAATGTCTACTCGCTGGCCTTCCTGATCCGTGCGGTGGCCGGAGCGCAGAGCGTGGCCTGTGACCAGGAGGCGGGCGCGCTCTACGTGATCCAGGAGGGCCTGGAGAACACGGGGTGCACGCTGGTCTTCTTGCTCCTGTACTACTTCGGCATGGCCAGCTCGCTCTGGTGGGTGGTCCTGACGCTCACCTGGTTCCTGGCGGCCGGGAAGAAATGGGGCCACGAGGCCATCGAGGCCCACGGCAGCTACTTCCACATGGCTGCCTGGGGCCTGCCCGCGCTCAAGACCATCGTCATCCTGACCCTGCGCAAGGTGGCAGGGGATGAGCTGACCGGGCTCTGCTACGTGGCCAGCACGGATGCGGCGGCGCTCACGGGCTTCGTGCTGGTGCCCCTCTCCGGCTACCTGGTGCTGGGCAGTAGTTTCCTCCTGACCGGCTTCGTGGCCCTCTTCCACATCCGCAAGATCATGAAGACGGGCGGCACCAACACAGAGAAGCTGGAGAAGCTCATGGTAAAGATCGGAGTCTTCTCCATCCTCTACACGGTGCCTGCCACCTGTGTCATTGTTTGCTATGTCTACGAACGCCTCAACATGGACTTCTGGCGCCTTCGGGCCACAGAGCAACCATGCGCAGCGGCCGCGGGGCCCGGAGGCCCGAGGGACTGCTCGCTGCCAGGGGGCTCGGTGCCCACCGTGGCGGTCTTCATGCTCAAAATCTTCATGTCACTGGTGGTGGGGATCACCAGCGGCGTCTGGGTGTGGAGCTCCAAAACTTTCCAGACCTGGCAGAGCCTGTGCTACCGCAAGATGGCAGCTGGCCGGGCCCGGGCCAAGGCCTGCCGGGTCCCCGGGGGCTACGGCCGTGGCACGCACTGCCACTATAAGGCTCCCACCGTGGTCTTGCACATGACTAAGACGGACCCCTCTCTGGAGAACCCCACACACCTCTAGCGACACAGGCCTGGCGCAGGGTGGTTGCTGCCCCCTCCTCGCCCTCCACGCCCTGTCCCCTGCACCCACTAGAGACAGCTGACTAGCAGCTGCCCAGCTGTCAAGGTCAGGCAAGTGAGCACCAGGGGCTGAGAACCAGGGCCGGGACCCCGTGAGGCTCATTAGGGGAGATGGGGGTCCCTAATACAGGGGCTGGACCAGCCCGAGTCCCCACAGGGTCCTAGGGGAGGATGTGGAGAGGAGGGGGCAGAAGGGTCCAGCCGAAGTTTATTTAATGATGTAATTTATTGTTGCGTTCCTCTGGAAGCTGTGACTGGAATAAACCCCCGCGCGGCACTGCTGAGTCCTCTGTGGCTGGGAAGGGGGGAAGGTAAGAGGGTGAGGGCCCTGTAGGAGTCTTTCTTGTAAGCAGAGCTGGCGGTGGGTGCTGGCACCCCCCAATCAGGAGGAAGTCCCCCCAGAACAGCTGTGCATTGCAGGAGTCCCAGACACCATGTGTGCGTGTTTTCCCCTCCCGCCCGTCTCTCTGCTTCCAAATGGAGAGAGGGACGCCTGCGGGATGTTCAGGGAATCCCCCAGGGTGACGCGGTCACCTCTGGCCCCAGGGAGTCCAGTTTGAGGCTGTAGATGCGTTTTCCTTCTCTGGGTCCTTGCTCTCCTCACTGGCGTGGAAAGTAAGGGTGTCAGTCTGTGTCAATGTCATGAGGGCCTCCCTGGGGGCTTGGAAATTTGCTGGTGTCTGCCTGGCTCCTCAGGGCCTCCACCAGGGCAGCCCCAGCCCGCTCCCTGGCATCTCCAGGTGGGGTGAAGGTGAGGCTGGACTGGTCTGTGGGCCTCTGGGTAGTTCAGACATGCACGCGGAGTTGGGAAGCCCTTGAGTAGAGTGGGAATTGGGCTCCTAGCTCCTAAGCTTGTCAGATTTGAGTTGCTGACGGCAGCGGTGGGAATGAGGCAGCTTGGGGGCTGTGCAGAGCTCCACACTGGGGCAGGTATGGGGAAAGGTCCCGTGTCCATCTGCGTGCTGGGGTAGCTCAGGGTTACTAGGACCTGCCTTGTTTCTGTGGGCTGGGTAGCTGGGGACATGTGGCCATCTGGAGACCACTATTGGCTTGGGGTCAGACCCCAGGGCTCCATCTTGGCTGTTGTGACTCCAGCCAGGTGAGGGTCTTAGTTACTACTGTCCCTGAGTGCCTACTACACACGGCCGGCATTTGGTGTCAGTGCCAGGAGGTCCCAGAGGTCCAGCCCTGCTGCCAGCCTCACTTTAGAGCCACGGGGAGGCTCCAGGAGGGGAGACGCTCAGGTGCTGAGGTTGAATGGTGAGGCGGAGCCCCAAACCCGGGGCCTCTCGGGCTGGAGCCCTGTGCCCTACCCCCAACCACCAATCCCACAGGGACAAGAAAAATTCAGTGAGAATCAAACAGGTTGGGTCAAGCTCCCAGGAGACAAGACCATCGTGGGCTGAGGGGGTTAAGGGGTATCCCTCACCACAAGGAGCAGTGGTGCCCCAGGGAAGCTTACAGCCCTCGCACCTGTTCTTAGGCTGTTTATTGCTCGGGGAACGCCCTCTCCATCTAAATCCTTCCCTTTGCACAGAGCGCACATTAAGTAAGTCCCCATGTGCCTTTGACCAACAAAGCCAAATGACCCTGCCTCCTTGTAATGCTGCAGGTGAGGGTGTTTTTTTGTTTTGTTTTGTTTTTAATTTGAGGCGGAGTCTCGCTCTGTTGCCCAGACTGGAGTGCAGTGGCGAGATCTCAGCTGACTGCAAACTCTGCCTCCCAGGTTCAAGCGATTCTCCTGCCTCAGCCGCCCGGGTGGCATCTACCACCATGCCTGGCTCATTTTTGTATTTTTTTGTAGAGATGGGGTTTCACCATGTTACCCAGGCTGGTCTTGAACTCCTGGCCTCACATGATCCACCCGCCTTGGCTTCCCAAAGTGCTGGGATTATAGGCGTGAGCCACCACACCTGGCCATTCGAGGGTCTTTGAGTGGGAAAGAGAATGAGCTCATTAGAGGCAGTGAAGTGCCCACACTGGGCATGGGAGGGGCAGAGGCTGCAGGGTGCTGGGCTCACAGGCAGTGTAAGGGAAGTGGGAAGGGCCTATACCAGGGCGAGGGCAGCTGGAGCGAATGGAGAGGATTTCAGAGACTTGGGAAGAGCAAGATAGGCGGGGTGTGGGAAAGGCGGGGGGAGGATGAGCATCCAAGGGCACCCACCTGCCCCTTCTTCCTTGCTGTCAGTGGCCATGTCCTGCTCAGCAGACACCAGCCTGGTGCTGGTTTCCAGGGCAGCTGGGATGGGAGCACAGACAGGCAGTGCAGGGTCAGGACAGGCCCCAGGGGGCTCTGCTTTAAGGCCAGAACCTGGGAGGGAGGGCAGGGCCCTGCCAGCTTTCTCAGCCCTGGAAGATGCTATGGAAATAAGTTCCAGGCCCTGGAGGAAAGGGAAAAAGGAAACGCAACCCACTCACGTGATCCTGCTCCCGCCGCGTTTCAGATGGGAAGTGTTTAGATGGCTTGGCTGCTGGAACGCATAGCCAGGCAGTTTGAGGCCAAGCTGGAGTTGAACCCAAGTCTGCCTCTAGAGCTTTTGTGCGTTCCACACCAGGGATCCCATTAGGTCCTGGTGGGGAAAGGCAGGGTGTATGCCTTGGCAAGGTTATGCCCTCAGAAGCTGGACAAAGCGGGTGGGGAGTAGACGAACGCCCCTCCCACTGCCAGACCTCTCCCCACACCCATTAAAGAACCCTCCAGGGCCAAAAAATGCCTCGAAAACCCACACGTGCTGGCATGTGCATCGAGTGCCCGGGCCCGGGCCTTTCCCTTAGTGGCCCTGGCGCCCAGCATTTGGGTCTTCAGAGTGCGGCATCACACACCTGCAAGCCTCTTGGGAGGCTGACCCTGTCCCTGTGGGTCTGCACTTGTGTGTGGTGGGCCCGAGATCCTCCTGCTCCCCGGAAGTTGCCCCCCTCAAGCAGCTCCTAGACACAGCAGTCCCAGATGTTGAAAAGCCAGGAGGCCCAGGGCCGGGGTTACGAGAGCGCAGTTAACGGGAGGCGAGTTCCCCAGGGTCCTCTAGAGATGCCCTGGCCGCTGGCCAGCAGGAAGAGGTGCCCCCTCTGAGTGGCTGTTGGAATCCAGATGTCACCTCACTGCCAACCAAATCTACTGACCGTGTCCCCTCCCCAGAGACAAAATTTGAGGAGAAAGAAGAGTGTGCAGGACAAGGACAGGCCTCAGCTGACTCCCAGGTCATGACTCAGGCCCCTGTCTTCAGAGATGGAGTTCCCATGCCCCCATTTGCAGTCATCAAAGTGAAGTGGCTGCCCCACAAGGTCACAGCCTGGTGAGGCAGTGGCTAAGAGTGTGCTGAGACCAGGACACGACCAGAGGTGACCACCCCAAGGCAGTATCCTAGTGTGTACCTGGGAAAACTACCGGAGGAGCAGGACTTCACAGAGGAAGGCTGGGAGCCCTGAGTGTCACTGTCACCCTGCAGAAAATGTCCAGAGGGGGCACGGCTCTCTTCTCCAGAGCTGGAGGCCGGAGCGGATAAGCTGTGCAAATTCAATTTGCTGTTGGGGCAAGCCCGCTTCCTCTAGGCAGGACGAAAATTCCCTGAGTGCTCTGCATAGGCCCTGGCTTGCCCACGCTTACCAAGGCCGCAAAGCCACTCAGCGGCAGAACCTGCGCCCAAGGCTCGGGCCTCAAAGGCTCTTCCCATTACACCAGCTTCACCTCGTTTAGCTGGTCAGGAACTGGCAGTTTAATTTCTCAGTGCCTGTGCCCACAGCAGTGGCTCAGCAAAATCTCTGTATTCCATTGGCAGGTGGCTGCCTAGCAGCACCCTACGCACATCAGCCAGTCAAACTTTAAAAGATAAATGAAGGCATAAATAAAACAAGATTAGACATGGTAGAACCGTCAAAGCTGAGTGCATAGGAATTCATTATACTTTTTCACTGTTTCTGTGTGTGTCTGAAATTTTCCTTGAGGCTGGGCACGGTGGCTCACGCCTGTAATCCCAGCACTTTGGGAGGCCGAGGCGGGCGGATCATCTGAGGTCAGGAGTTCAAGACCAGCCCGGACAACATGGTGAAAACCTGGCTCTACTATAAATACAAAAACTTAGCCAGGTGTGGTTTTTGTCCCTATAAACCCAATTACTACTGGTGGCGTGTCCCTATAATCCCAATTACTAGGGAGGCTGAGGCAGGAGAATTGCTTGGACCCAGGAGGTGGAGGTTGCAGTGAGCTGAGACCATGCCACTGCATTCCAGCCTGGGTGATGGAGTGAGACTCCGTCCCCACCACCCCCCAACTTTTTTTTTTCCCTGAAGAAGGTTTTAAAGTGGCAGGAGTTTCCCCATAGTGAAGGCTTAAAAATCTATTTTCACCCTAATTCCTAGTTTCAAATGAAGTTTTTCGGGGTTTTAGACGGAGACAGGGCTAGGAGAGGCTTGAAAGGAATATTTCTTTCTCTGGTTAAGAACACTGAGAGGCCCTCTGACTCTGGAGGACAAGCCTTCAGAGGACCTGGCTCCAAGGGTCAGTGGGAAAGCAGCACTCAGAACAGCACTACTCACCCCCACCCACCAAGAAAGAGCATGAAGAAACTGCCACCAGAATGGTTTCTTCTTTATAAACACAAGTACATGAGGTTTATTTGAAATTCCAATTTATTACAAGTTCACCCTTTAATGGGGCCCTTCCTCCTTGAAGACAATAATAAAAAAACAACAACAACAAACAATTCAGTTGTCACTGAAGTGGGAACACAGGATTCTCACTATGAACAAGAACAGACTGGATGTAGGAGGCAGGGGAAGCTGGCGGTGGCGGGGTTATGAAGCTGTGATGTCAGTGCCAACTCCATGCCTAGAGAAGGGACAGTAAACTACCCAGCAGCCCTGGAGCAATCCCCGTCGTCCTTGGGCGGGAGGACGGAGAAAGCAGGGGCCACACTCCGCAGTTTAATATTGAGAGGCTTGATTCTCATGTTCTAGGAGCTGCAGTCCCCTTGGTGGACTTTAATTTAAATAGGTACAGAAGAGCTTGGGTGCTCAAAATTTCCAAATTCAAAGGTGATAAAAAAGAAAATTAAACCCTGTTTTGTACTTTTATCAAAATCCATCATAAAAGAGAAAGAAGACTACAAAGTTTTGCCTAAATATAGCAACTAGAGCTAGACTGGTTGTGGGACGGGGCTCTCAGAGCTTCTCTGCCTCTCTCTCCTCCCACCCCCCACTGACACTGACCACTGGAATCTTCAGGTTCTTGAGGAGTTCCAAGTCTGAGGTCAGAAAGGGCATGGGAGGCAGCAGACGCGG